GACCTGTCATCTTATGTATGTAATATCTTTTCAATGTCGGAAAGTGCCTTCATACCTAAAACTCATGAGGTGTATCAGCTGTGCAGGTTCACTCTCCCTTGATGCTCCAAGATTCCTGAGAGACGGTGAGGCAGATGGTATCACAGTTATAACATTATCCTCATTTTTTCAAATGATATCATTGAGGCTTAGATGTGTTAAGTAACCTGCCCAACCAGGAAGTGGCAGAATTGGGATTTGAACTGAACTTTGTCTATCAACAAATTTGTAATAACTTTCTACTATAATCAAAATGGCAAAGAGGTTGGCTTCTCCTCAAATCCAACCGAAGTGGCTGGTTATAGCTGCCCAAAGTGCTGTGTCAAAAAGCCAAACTCAGTCCGACCAGTGTGGCTCAGTGGTTGAGTGTCAACCTATGAACCAAGAGGTCACGGTTCGATTCTAGTCGAGGCACATGCCCAGGTTGTGGTCTTGGTCCCCAGTGGGGGGCCTGCAGGAGGCAGCCAATCAGTGACTCTCTCTCATCATTGATATTTCTATCTCTCTCTCCATCTCCCTTCCCCCCTGAAATCAACAAAAATATAACAACAACAAAAAAAAAACAGGCAAACTCAGGCTCAGCATGACAGGGAACCGTCCACAATGAAGGAACAGGGTCAGCGTGGGTCCAGCTATGGAGGAAGAGCACGCGGCCACCTGTTTGCCGTCCCCTGCCGCATGCTAACTTTCCTGAGCTAGGAGAGCATTTACTACCGGTTGCATTTACATTACATGTACAGGAGCATTTACGTTCTACAGCCCTTGGAGCAGAGAGCTTACCCTATAGCAGGTGAGCATCAATATTTCCCGTCTGTAGCTGCATCGACACCCTCGGTGAGGCCCAGCAGAGATGGGCTCCCACAGCCTGCAACAGCCCCACCAGGGCCTGTGAGCGAGCAGCTCCGCTCCGGACCAGCTGAGCGGCTTGGCTCGGTGACTGATTCCAAACTAACAGGCATGCAAAATACAGTGTGAAGCTTAAGGAAAAGTGTTTGACCCAGAAGACTGAGCATCCATGTGAAAAATAAGTGGTAATGCTTTTCTGCGCGGTGATAATACTTTTCACACGCACGACCTGGTACAGAGAAACCGAAAGCCGTGCGGAACGCACACCCTGCACGTGGCTACTCCTAAGGTCGTGCATCTCCTTTGGGGGACCCCCTCCACCCCCATCATATGTGATCATTCCTGATTTCCTATATCTCAAGATTCCTGGGAGGATCAAGGGATAAGGGACCAGCGTTATCTGATGCCCCGCCCCATTACCTGCTGCTGCCATCCCTACTCTGACAATTAGTGAATCGGAAAGGGAGAGAATTTCTGTCAGGGACTGCTGTCAATTACTGGAGACAAAATGACCAATTACCACTCTTCTCCAAGCCAGCTCTGCTCCCCTCCCCGGCCTCCTTCCCGGACCACCTCCTGCCTCGGGCCGGGAGTTCTGTTTCCGCCTCATCTCTTTACCATACCTCGGGATGGGGACGGGTCCAGGAACCCAGGCCAAGACCAGCAAATGTATCACCATGCTCATGACAGCAAGCTGCATGCGGAGCGAATTCCGCAGCCCCCACCCCCTCAGCTCCTCCCTCTGCCAAAACCCGGGGAGCTGTAAGATGCCGCCGACTGCAGACTTATCTCCACATGAGGAATGGTCCTGTTGGCAAATGCAGTTAGGTATCAGCCATCGGGCTATTTTTAGAAGCTTGTTTGGGAAGATCTCAAAAACAAAAATTGCCCCTTGGTGAGAGATGTTAGCCAATTTGCGGAAACAGAGCATCAGTAAACACATTGTAAACGTGCCATTAGCAATATGGAGCATCAGGAAGATGGCCTTTTGTCCCCTAGGAATGGCTCACTGCTCCGTGAGCAGGTAGGATGCCCATGGCGTTTATACACCTTTCAATCCTGGTGGCCAAATCCTGTCTTTACTCACTCGAGCAGCTCTTCCCAGGCTGGGGCTGTGAGGTCCTTGACCCAGTCCTTCCAGAGGCGCTTCCCAGGGAGCAGTCATTCCAGCTGGAGCTGGAGGTCGTGACAGGCCAGGCTGAGCACCCACTGGGGCAGTGTATGAGGCAAGGCACATCGTCAGGGAGACCCAGGTCAGGGAGGCCGGTGGTGGGGGAGGCAGGGGTCAAGGAGGCTCCACAGGAGCAGGTCACCCGCAGTGTCACTGAGAGGTGGTACCCAGGCTCCTGGGCGGCTCCCTCTGCCAGGCCCCTGGCCAGGTCCCAGGAAGCAGGCCTGGCCCAGGGACACTGGCTGTCCCCACTGTGGGCAGGAGAAAGCCCTGCTGGCCTGTGCTAAGCAAACAGATGAGTCTAAGTGTGTGCTCCATTGTCACAGCACCGTGGCCTTTTATTTGAAGAACTAGAGACCTAGTGCACAAAATTCGTGCACTCGGGAGTGTGGGGATCCCTCAGCCTGACCTGTGCCTTCTCGCACGCAGTCCAGGAGCCCTGTAGGGAGCGGGCCTAAGCTGGCAGCCAGACATCCTTAGCACTGCCATGGAGGCAGGAGAGATTCCTGCCACCACTGCTGCACTCACCAGCCATGAGCCCAGCTTCTGGCTGAGCAGTGCTCCCCCTGTGGGATCTGGCTGAAACTGGCTCTCTGACATCCCCCAAGGGGTCTTGGATTGTGAGAGGGAGCAGACCAGGCCGAGGGACTCCACCGGTGCATGATCAGGGCAGGGGAGAGACATGGGAGGTTGGCCACCTGGGGACGGACCATGGGAGGGCTTCAGGGCATGTCCAGCCTGTCTCACTCAGTCCCGATTGGCCAGACTCCAGCAGCAAGCTAACCTACCGGTCAGAGCATCTGCCCCCAGTGGACAGTGCACATCATAGCAAGTGGTTGAGAGGCCTTATCATATCATTAGCATATTACGCTTTGATTGGTTGAATGGCCGACCGGTCGACTGGACACTTAGGATATTAGGCTTTTATTATATAGGATGTGTGTGCTGTGCTTTAAAATTCAAGTCAGTGATATTGATTCAGCTGGAGTCTCAGCCCAGCAGCACCCCTCACCCCAACTTCTTCACTCTGCTGATGAAGACAGTGATGGTCGTGTCCCTCGGGTGGGGGCAGGGAGAGGTCCCATCTGGGGCTGGGCTGGGGCTGGGGCTGGGGCTGGCCTGGGGTTCAGGCCATGTCCCTATGGCTCCAGGCCCTCCCAGTGCTCATCCTTGAGCCGGGTGTCCACATCCCCAGCTCCCTCTCAGCACCCACCTTCCCCACTGGGAATTGGGCCAATCATGGCTATGCCCCTGGCTTCCTCTCTGTGAAGATGCTGACTGGCACAGTGCACGCCTGGGCCCAGCTGCACAGCAGCCTCCGAGAGGGAGCGAAGGAGCTGGTTTAACCCAGAAAGGACATGCCTGCGTGGAGGAATCCTAGCACCCTGAGGGGTAGAGGGCTCTCACTGCCGACGAGAGAGGATCCTTTCTCTGCTCTTCCAGACAACTGACCGGCCAGAGTCTGAGAGTACAAGGAAGCAGGTGTGGACGCCACCTCAGTAATTCCTTATGCAACATCATCAGTGGAACAGCCGGGACACATACAAGTGGGCGGGGAAGTGACCATTTCATTCTGTAGAAGGCATTCCTAAAGGTGGTGGGAAGCTAAACTGAATGACCTCTGCCCCCCAGTCATGACGTTCTAGGAGTGCCCAAGAGCTGTGAGTAAGCGGCAAGGCCTCCTGTGACCGTTTCATTGACTGCAGTTCAGCTGCAGCCTCTGAGGGGTCGAAAGCACTTTGTGTCAAGAAAGAAATACATGAGACAAGGGAGCAATGAGGTTCCCAGGCTCCCTGGGAGTCCCCCGGTGGCCTGACCACATCTCCCAATGGGACAAGCACTGTAGACAGACTGACATTTTCACTGGCGTGCTGAGCCCTCGCACATAAGCCTCAGGGCTGTGGCCTCACCCTCCCTCGAGCACAGACTCCTAGAGCTTTAGAGGCGGAGGGAACCTGCGGGCATGTTGTCCCAACCCTTGCCCAGGGCAGGCGTTCTCACGCCAACCACCCAGCACGGTCACCCAGCTTCTGCCTGAGCAGGAAGAGGCTTGGCCAGCAGGTTAGTCCATTTTGAAACCACTTAATCCGTGTTGAGACAGTCCTCTCTATGAGCTGTTTCTTCCTCATATGGAGCCCATGTCTGCCTTCAGTCAGCGTGACCTTTGCCCTCAGCAGTCGGACAAAAACAAATGTTTGCTCATCCCCTTGACAATGTTTAGATTTTTTAAGACAGCGGTTATCTCCGTGCCTCCTCTCCCTCCAAGTATTTTCCTCCCCATCCAGATGCCTCGGGTCACCTCAGATAGTCCTTGTATGGCACAGTTTCAGACCCCACACCATCCCAGTTACCATCTTCTAAATATTTTCTATTTTACTAATGTTCCTTATAAAGAGTTGCTCCTAGAACAAATACCAACAGTGGTCTGATGACTGCTATCACCTCCTTTGATCTACACACTATACTTTTATTAATACAACCTAGAATTATATGTGCTTCACACCAAACGGTCAACTGTTGTGTTTATCTTAAGGTGTTGATTAACCAAAACCGCCATCTCTTTCTGTTGGCACAATTTCATATAGCTTAAAAGAATTAAGTGGATTTAAAACTGGCCCTGTAAGTTATTAAAACATCAAACCCTGCCTCCCTGTGTAAGAGATCAGAGCCCTGGCAAAGATGGTCAGTGACAGACTAAGTAGTTGACCCCCAAAATGATTGGCTCCAAAGGTGAAATGTGTATTGGCAGTGATGTGCCAGGGCCCCAACCTTTGCAGCCTCTTCTTCCAACAAAATTCGGGCAGAGAAGGGCTCTTCTTGGAAGCTGTGCCTGCTTTTGTCTCCCTTACTCTGCCTTTCTTTTCAGCTTGTCCCATGCACCTGAGGCCATCTTCCTCCCAGCCCCTGGGAACTCACTAGCGGTTTCCCTTTGCGTCTCTGACAGGTCACCTGAAGGAAGCAATCACCCAGCGGCATCTGCAGCAAGCAGCTCTAGGTGAGTACAGAGCGGAGGCTGCGGGAGGAAGGTGAAGGTTACACCAGCTCACCTGCCTGGAGCCCCACCCTCAGCTAGAACATAACCCGCCCAAACCCTCGGGAAGCGGAGGGAAAGGTCTGCTATCAGTGCAGCTTCCTGTGGACCCCGGGGACCAGTTTCCCCCACCTGTGTGCTTGCTCCCGGCGTCAGCACCAGGCACCCCACCCTCCCAGCTGCCGCCTCATCCTCCTGACCTTGTCCACCCCAAACCCCAAACTAAATTCACCCCATATCCCAGCCCCTCAGAGTCCTACTCTGAGCTTCCTAGAGCCACTGCTAACTAGTCCTACAGTGAGGACTGGCGGTTAAAGCAGCCTCCGTGCCCGTCTCCTTCCATCCTCACCACCGTCCAAAAGCTAAGTGCACTTTCCGTGTGAAGGCGGTCCAATGACTTCCCAAGGTCACAGGGCTTCTCGGTGTGAAACTCGGACTCGGACCCATTCTCTGAGCCCGCACTTGGTGCTTTTAGCCCCACGCTGCTTTTGCCCACAGCCGTGGCATACGCACTTCTGCACATTGATAATGCGAACACTGAACAAGCACAGTGACAGTCTAACTCGAAGGCCTTTGGCGCCTTTTAAGCAGCGACACCTGCAGAAAATGCTCCCTTCTGACCTGTGCCCCGAGGAAGTGCGCTGGGAGGAGCGTGCAGCCCCAGAGAGGCTGATGGGCAGGCACCTGGGCAGGGCCAGCTTGCTCCTCTGCAGCCTGGGACCAAGCACACATGCAGCTTCAGTTAAATATGCAACGTGTTTATTCCAAACAAAGAGCTTGTCCAGGGTGGCCTGGCCCTGGAGTGGCCCAGACCTGAGAAATCCAGCAGCGGGGACTCCTAGCGGAGAATAGCGGGCAGCCCAGGGTCTGAGGATGACCCCTGTGACCTAGGAACTTGATCATTAGGAAGGCTGGTTGTTTGGTTTCAGTGATAATAATGATCGTTTCAACAACTGCTGATTACATCAGAAATAAAGAGCAGAGAGGCCCAGGACACACTGGCCAGAGCTCGGCCCCAGGACTGAGGGCAGATCAGCCTGCCAGGCCTGCCTCCTGTATGTGCCTCTGATGGTGATGGTTAGCGGGGCTGGTGACTGTCGTGAGCTGAGCGGCGCCGTGTGGAGGAGACTGACTGGTGAAGGGAGGCCAGGTCCAGGGACGTCAGAGAGAGCGCGGCCGCCCGTGTCAGAAGAGTGCGTGTTACCCTTTCGAGAACTTGGGAGCCGTGTTAAACACAGCTGGTGTTAAAAGTTAATTATATACAATTAAGTAAATTACATTGAAAAAAAACAAAGGTAACAAATACTCAAAATCCACCCCTTCCTGAATAATTTACCACATTTTACTGTCATCTCTGCGCTCAAGGTCATTGACATCGAGGGGTCTGTCTCATGGAGATGGATTTGATGGTGGGGCTCCCCGTGTGTCCTCTTAGGCCACGTTCAGGGCGTGGCCCAGGCAGCTTGAGGTCAGCGTGGTGGGAGCGTTTACACCAAGGAACTGACACATGTTATAAGTGGAGCCGTGGTTACACATCTACCATCACACCTCTGGCACAGACAAGTGTCCATTGAGAGGCCAGCTTCTGCACATGTGTGTGTGTGTGTGTGTGTGTGCGCGCGCGCATGCGTGCGTGTGTGTGTGTGTGTGTGTGTGTGTGCGTGTGTGCTCTCATGATGACTTCTACCCGCTTCCTGGCTGAAAGTCCACGATGGTCCTCCTTCATGGCCTGCCTCCCACGGAACCCTGTCCTTTATAAAGTCAGTGGGCAAGGAAACCAAGGGAGACAGCGGGGCAGGCGAGGCCGGCCCAGCAGCCCCCCCCCCCCCCATGCGACAGCCTGGGTCCGAGGGGGTCTCTGGGAGACACATCAATGGCCAGTTCTAAGAATGTCACGTACAAGCAAAAGTTACTGGTGGACTGAGTGCGGAGCCCACTCCCGCCCACTGCTTCAGGAAACAATGAAACAATGTTCTTTTTAAATGAAGCAGCATTTGGGAACGATTCTACTTGAACTAGATTCCGCTAGCGCCCGAATTCCCTGTGTTCCCCCCACTTTGAGGTCCTGGCTCCGATGGCACAGTATTGTCATCATGCAGATGGCACAATCAGCAGACGTGTCTCCGTTCTTCACCACGAGCCAGGCATGACTCTATGCTCTTTGCCTGTGTTTCCTCCTGTGATGCTTCTAAAACACCCACGAGCAGATACGACTGTTGCCCTGGCTTTACCGTTAAAGCTCAAAGGGGTTACGCGCACGTGCTTAGACACATATGTATTGGGCTCTAGATCCCACGCTCCCACCCCCACACTGCGCTGCCCTCACCCTTGCCAGGCGGGCATCGCGGGTCCACAGAGGGCAGAGGTTGGATGCCTGCCCTAGCCAGCGGGAGGGGCCGCATGCATAGAGAAAACTCTATCTAATTTCAGATTTAGACACATTTGTATTGTGCCACTGTGTCCTCTTCCCACTGCAGTCCCCGGAGCAGTTCAACCGTGACCTGCCCCCGGTCACCATGGCGGCTTTGTCCTCCAGCCCCACACACCTCTGCGAGAGCACCAGCCCTGTTTTGTAATTATCCGTTTCCGTAGCTAATCTCCACGCTAAAACGTGGGCTCCCAGAAAGTCGGGTGAGTCTCCATACCCCTAGCAGCCAGCACGGGCAATAAATAGGCCCAATCAGTGCTTCCCCAGATGGCTTCCAGACCCACACATCTTGCAAAAGCATAATGAGACATTGGAACATAAAATAAAATAAGTCCATTAAAAGCAGTGGAAGGAGTAAGTGCTTTTGGACCCCACGGCTGAGCAGATTATAACACACAGGCGATAAATTCCTCTCTCCCTTATCTAGCCGCGAGGCAGCGAGAGAAGCGCCCTGAGAGCCAGTTTCTTTCCTGACAACAGGAAGCACGCTCACTAATTTACCCGCAAAAATAGAATCTCTCCCTGGAACCAAACACAGCCAGGACGTGTCGTGCAAACCCTTGTGTGAAGGACAGAGTGGCTTCGTGAGCGACGTCTCCCACTGCAACTCTACAAAACGCACGAAATGCTGTTCAAGCACAGTTCTTAGACCGACCCCCGTAACAGCGGGAGTGGACACTGCAGCTCAGCTCAGGAAAGTGTGGGTGCGATGCGGCCGAGGTCCAGGCACCTGCTCTCAGTGGCCCACGGAGCGGGATGGAGTGGGGGCCAGCCCTGAGTGCCGGCTCCTCCGTGTCTCTCCTGAGCAGTATCTGACCAGGCAGTATCTGAGCTGGCTCTCGCTCAGCTGCCCTCAAAGTCCTACCAAGTGCCTGTGACTAAAGTGTAAGAACCACAGGCCTTGCTGAGCGGCTTTGCAACGTGTCAGGCAAGAGGGACTGGCCATCCGGGCTTTGGGAGGGAACTCACCTGAGGATGTAGCCTGGAGGTCACTGAGACCACGGCCTGGGCTGAGTGTAGAGAAGGGGCAGGACTCAGAGCCCAAGTGGAGAGGGCAGGGAGGGGTTGTTGTGGGTGTGTGTGAGGTGTATGTGTGGTATGTGTGGGTGTGCAACATGTGTATGGTATGCATGATGTGTGGCATGTGTGGTATGTGTGGTTATGTGTGTATGGTGTATATGTGTGTGGTGTGTGTGGTATGTGTGCTGTGTGTGGTATGGGGGTATATGTGGTATGTGTGTGGCATGGGTGTGATATCTTGGGTATGTGTGGTGTATGTGTGTGTCATGTGTGTTGTATGTTTCTGTGTGTGGAGGGGGAAGAGGAGGACTTTTGGTGGAGTGGATTTGAAGCAGTGGGGGGGTGCTGAAAGGGTGAGTTGAGGGGTTCAGCGAGGACCTTGGACCTGAGCCTTTACCTTTCGGCCAGCTGAGCCACTGAGCATTCGCCAGCAAGGAGGGCTGGGTCAGGGGCCGTTCGGGAAGAGAGAACCCCAGGCAGTCGCCGAGTTCCCATCACTGGCCAACTCCTGAGGAATGACAAGTCCATCTTCCGCCCCGACCACCACCCCAGCTTTCCCCTGCCCCTGCCCCGCTGTTCCCTGGGCTGCTCCCTGAGCACACACACTCCCAGCCCAGCCAGGAGGGCCTGGCCAGCTCTCAATGAGTCTGCTGCTGCGGGCACACAGGTCTGAGGCTGCCCCGAGAGTCCCACACTGGCCACACGCCTCCCGCCTGGCCTCGCCCTGGGGGCTGGGTGGTCAGTCCGTGATTCTGTCTGTGGAAGAAGGAAGTGGGGGATCCTGCCCCTGAGAAGCTCAGCCCTCATTGGATGACACCTCACCTGTCTCCACAGTTATCCCTGCCCCAACTTCTGTGAAAGCATGAACTGCTAGAACATTCCGTCGCCTCTGTTACAGGCATGTCACAGGAGATAGCAACAATAATGACGAAGATGAATTATGACAAGACAAGCTCCACAACCAGGCCATTGGCAGGTTCCAAATGGCGTCGGAGGTTCCCCCACAAACACTAGGTCCCCCCACCCCCGGTCAACACCCCAGGAGCAAAGCAACCCCCGGGCCAGTCCCCTGTGGCCGCAGTGTCACCGGGGGTGCTCCCTGTCCCTGAAAACAGGGCAGCCACTGCCTGTCCCCAGCGGGGCCTTGGGAGCATGGGGAGGCCCCAAATCCCAGGGCTCCCTATTTTACTTCATTGTTCCAGCTGAGTGTCTACAAACAGCTCATTTCTCCCAAACAGAATTCCTGCAGTGCCCTCTAGTGGCGACCCTGCTGTCTCAGAACAGAGGCCTCTGCGGTCGCCACTTTCTCCCACTTGGTGTAAAATCGTTTAAGATTGCGCCTGCACTGCTCTTTGGAATTCTGCACCTGATGTAACAAATTTAAGAGAAAGCAAAAGGCCAGACTGTCACCCGTTTACTCACCAGGCTCCCTGAGCCCCTGCACAGCCCAGGCCGAGTGTGAAGCAGGCGTTCCCCATGGTCAGAGGAGCTGCTGGCTGCTGCAGAACTGGGGGGA